GGATGTGGGGGGGGGGGGAGGAATAAGAGGAAGAGAATTATTAATGAGAACATCAACACCAGAGTGGAATTTGCTTCCATTATACTGTTCTATTGACTAAAGTATCTTTAACAAGACTCTGTATACTGTAATATATTGTCATGTTTTGACATGCCTTAAAAAAAAATAAAGGCATGCGACTTTGTGGCTAGCATCCATGAAGCTGAAGTTTTGAGCTTATTCATTAACAAACACTTAGGCAATTGTCTTATCAAACCTCATGTTAAGTCATCATGTACAATGTTAACTCTTATGAAGGACCTTTGAACAAAATCTCACTGTAATCCAGCGTAGTTAAGGATTGAAAGCACAGGTTTGTTTATAACTGTGCTGCTTTTGCAGAGTCATCAGAACACCAGAAATATTTGTAGAAGAAAAGTCTTCAGATATTTAAAACTATCACAATTTAAATACCACTCTTTAAAAAAAGCATTTCTTGAAATCTAAGAGCAGGTGTCAAATCAGCAGTAATCAGATACATTCCCATTTTCATTACTTCTTAAAATACTCTTTAACCTTGAGGACATCTGATCTCAGAGACATCTGCCTCTACAGAGAATAATTCCTGGTAGAGGTATGAGAAAGCAACTTAAGACACATTCATGTACTTTTAAAAGGGCAGAGTTGAAAGGTGACCCCATACTTAAACATAATGCATCTGTGTCAGAAAGTACATTTATGGTCTTTTGTGTACTACAAATCAAACTTTGATTTATTTAATTTATGTTAAAAAAAAAGATCTAATGGAAAGCAGTCCTGACAAAACAGCTACATAGGTGATTAAAATATTAAGCTTATGGACATTTCTTCTCTCAAAAACTAAAATTGCTAGCGAAAGAAAGAGAAAAGGAGGAAAAGTTATCTACACCTTTGCCTAGTGCTCCTCCCATACAGGGAAACCCCTTCAAACTGCAAAAATATCCTGATTTAACTCCTATCAGAAAGCAGTATTGGGGAAACTAGACCAGGGACTTGGACTGGCAGAGGCCATAGTAAATGATTAAAAACTGATTTTCTCATAGATACTGGAGCACAATTATCCATGATTGAAGCAGAATCATGTCCTGGAGCCATCCCTCTGAAACATCAGAAAATATTAGTAAATGGAGTAGTGATTCCTTATTCAATTGTTAAGGTAAAATTGGAACTTCCCTTTTGCACCACCACCCCCACCCCCCCCAATACTAAATGCTACTAGGAAACCTAAATATATTGTGCATGGATATTCTATGAGGCAAAAGTTGGATACAGGGCAACACTAAATGGGCTTTTGAAACAATTGATGAAGAAACAATGCCAGGGCCCCAGTCAGGAGGTTACCTTTTTCAGGACCAAATGGATAGGGGGTAGGAAATAAGCCTCCCTGGTCCACTTGGCAAATTGATTATGTTGGACCTCTCCCTTGAACACCCGAGGGGTGGCATTATATCCTTACTGGAGTTGAAATAATATCAGGCTTAGGGAAAGTTTTTCCTTGCAAGAAAGCTGATGGTCTTACCAATGTGGCAGGACTTAATGGATGGTTTGCTGACACTCCCATGCCTTCTGCTGCGCAGTCTGACAATGGCTCTCATTTAAAAAATAAAATCATACAAGAATGGTGTGAACGGAGTTGCCTGGGTGTTCCACCTGCCCTACAGACCCCAAAGTAATGGCATGGTCGAGAGACGGAATGGTCTACTAAAATGAACTCTAGGGCAAAATTTATATACAGGAAAATGGGGTAAAGCCCTACCTGAAGCTGTCCAATGCTTAAATAACAGACAGACACCCACCAGATGCCCGGTGGAATGTGCTCATTTTTTTGCTCTCCAACCAACAAAACCTTTAAAACCCCCACTGTCAGCCTTTCACTTTTCTAAGGGTGACACTGTTCTTATTAACTACCTTTCAATGGTTAAAATATCTGCCACTTTACTAACTCCCTGAGAAAAGGGCATATGGAAAAACATTTCTAAATGAGGACTCCCTCTATCACTGAGGCTTGGATAATTTCCAAGACCAGATAATTTCTTATCGCTTCAGGTAATGAACTATACTTGGATGGATTCTTTGGCCTGAATAAACCTGGAATGCACCCAAGGAATCATCACTTTACCTTCGTGGAAATTCCAACTGCAGGAAAATGATGATCATAGCACCCATTGTATTGTATTTATCCTTATTTGTACCCTGTTCCTCCTTATTTCATGACCGGAACAACAATCGTGTCATTCAGTTCACGAACTTCATCTCTCAGAGAGTAATGAATCAAACTGCTGGTATTGTTTACACCATCCTCAATCTTCAGATACTAATTCCGGGTGGTTAGCTGAACCTGTTCCTGAAACGTCTTGGTACCAATCTAAATTGGCATACTCACTCCCCAACCCTCCAGCTTATCAAACCCAACCTTTTAAGGCACATTTGTATGATAAAACCCCATGGTGCATTACAATGCCTGAACATACAAATTCAATGTGGGTGGGACAAACAAACCATTGTGACTATACTCTGCTCTACAACCAGACACAAACCCAGTTTCAGCTGATATGCTGTAATTGAACCAGAGTCTGTAATGAATCCAATTTAAGAACCACATGGATCTGTAAAAACAAATCAGTGATTACAAACACTGCTGTTTTAAATATTTCGCCACTCTGGAATCTCACATGGAATATTAATGGTACATTTTGCCAAAGATACTATAATTTCACCGGTCCTAATTCTACATTTTACATTCTACATAGTAATGGTTGATTAAGTACTAACAACAGTTGGACCACCTGTAACTGGCATAACATGACTGGCTGTATATATGCCAATCCTTTTCACACTATTCAAATGAGCCACACTTTCCTACTCAAATTTGATCATCCTGACAGCGAAAAAGAGACTTATCAATGGTGTGAGGAATATTTCCCTAGAAATCTTACAAAATCAAATTGGTGGCCTACCATTCTAGCATCCAGATGGTTCTGGCTCTGTAGCACAAATGCATATAAAAGTCTTCCACCACAATGGGAAGTACTTGTACCATAGCACATCTTTCTCCCTATGCATTTCAAACCAAAAATTTAACTACTACCTTTTTACACAACCATTACCCTGTATGCCATAAGCATTTTGTGATTGATCCCCTGGTAAAAAGACCAACGAGATTCCATCTATTTATGTGTGCATTGTTTCCAAGTTTAGGTATTATTGAGTTGGAAAAAGCTATCGTAAATATTTCTGCTATGCTTGAAATTGTCCAAAGTGCTACTGTAGATGCTTTAAAGAATTTGCAATCGGAAATTAGTTCACTTTCGCAATTAGCTATTCAAAACTGTTGGGCCATAGATTATCTTCTAGCGTCACAAGGAGGTGTATGTGTACTGCCAAACACCACTTTTTTTTATGCTAACAAATCTAAACAAATCAAATATCATATAAACATCATTCAAAGACAAGTTCGTACCTTCCACCAAATAACTCGAGCAACCCTTGTCAGAAGGTCTGTCAACTGCCTGGTTTTGGCTGTGGTCTTGGTTACCTGACTTCAGAGCGTGGGCCTGTCACATTTTGGTAATATTAGCTCTTATTATTGCTGTTGGAATTATGTTATTTTGTGTTACATCTTGCTTTAAATCTTTATGCATATCAGTTACTAAAAATCAATGTTTTATACTCTCTTCCCTCCTTGGATGAACAGCCTTCGGACAACAAGCAGCCCATTATTGTCGTGGAGTCCTCCTTATGACCCCATTACTAAGCTGTAGGCCATGGGCAAGAGGTGATGGTACCACCACCACTGGCATCCTTCCCTGTTTGTGATGGTGTCAGGGGGTGGGGTGTGACCGGTACCCTCTGTTCCTGACCCCTGGTAATATGGTTAACATAACTAATGCCACTTTATAAGGCAAACAGCCATTCTCTGTGACTGAGCTGGTCATGTATTAGTCCCCTTTCCCCTCATTATCAGGCCCTGAAGGTCCTGTGAACCAAGTAGACAAATCAAACAGATTTCTTCTTCTTCCCCTCCCTGTAGGCCTCAGGATTCCTGGGTGCCAGGCCGACTACTCCCTTCTTTACTGGCCTTGAAGGTTCCAGGCACCCGGCCAACCAGGTTGATGACCCCATCACAGAACAGGGAAGCGTAACAGTACACAGAGCACTGTCTATAAAATCAAGCAGTTACAAGTCCTAGGTGGGAACTTGGACTGGAACTGCTGCTGGACAATGAGACCCGTGACCTCCCAGTGACCAGGGACACCTCCACCGTCGTTTGCTTCCTCCGAGGACTGAGTGACTCATATTCTTTTATATGTTTTTCGAGTCTAGATTATGACCGTTATGTTGATACAGCAAACCAAGTATTAAGATTTAACCTGATCTGCAGAGGGTCCAGGTGATTAGAAACCATAAGCTAAGTGGTGCTATAAAATTCTGTATTATGCTACTTATAAAATTGTACTACACTGATTCTGCTTATAGAAATCTTGTGCTATTCTGATTATAAATTCTATGCTATACTAATCATAAAATCCTGTTAAGAAAAATAAAGCTTTAATTGTAACTACGACTTAGTGCTGTCATCATTCTGCCAAGGATCCCAAAAAGAACCTGTCTGTCCCCTTGGTGTCAGGTGACACCATGAGATCTAGATAAATTTATAGATGTCTACTGTAGCATATCACTTGCTAGTTATGGTATTAAATCTCTGCAAGAAAAAAAATTCATGCTAATCAATATAGTAACTTTCAAGTTCAACACAAGGAATGATATATATTCTGGATAAAATTAAGATTAAAAACAGATATACCAGAAATGCTAGAGCAGTTTAAACTAAAAGGTAGAGTTAGAAGACTTTTGCATTAAAATTTACTGTAAAACTAACTATTTGTTAGTTAAGAGCTCTGACATACTAAGTTCCTGTTTCATTAACATTTTCTAAAGCTCTAAGCACTTAAGCTCATGCAGTCACATAAAAGTAAAGTTACCTTTTCTGTGGCAGACTAATGCTTCAACACTGGCATGAAGTTTCCTAAGTTGCTGATCCAGATTCTCAAATTGCTGCTGTTTTTCCTCAAACCACTGACAAAAGAGGAAAGAGTCTAGCATTATAATTTAGATTACCAACAGCATTTCTTGTTTTAAAGAAACAAATTATCCATTTATTTCTAGGATGGCCAACTGATACAGCTAAGAATCCAAGCCAATAAGCAAATTACTGTCTCATTTTCTACTTCTACAGCTTTACAATGTAGTTGTTGAGCCTCATTAATTTGACTCATTATACAAGTAAAAAAAAATCAGCTCTTACTGCATCTGATTCATTCATCTTGATTGTCATTTTGTTGACAGCATCAGCAGCCTTGTTTCACATCCTCAATATTCCTGCTCCACTCAGAGCCTGGGTGTTTACCGCTCTCGGCAGCTGGAAATGAATGACAAATAAGGGCACAGACTGGTTAAAAGGCTGGAGGTTTAACTGGGTACAAGGGGGAAAGAAAAGGATAGACTATTTTCTTTACTCCTATGTGTTACAATATAGTGGAATCTAATTTCTCAGTTTTACTATTTTTACATTCTCAGAGGAAAACTTAACAATACAGGCTATATACTTTTCTTCTACACCTTTACATTTAAATAGAACAAACAACCTACTTGTCAGAAGTTATGAATTAGCCAAAGGTCCTAACTAGCCACCTATATACTACAGAGAACAAACTGCCACTACAGAAACAGAAAAGCTTAGATTTACAATAAGATACAGAAATTCTGTAAAACACTTCATTATAATGCAAGATTCACACTGTGTACAGATCATATAAAGTTGATGTCTTTTTGCTTTTAAATATAGGCCAGGTTTCAAAACCTACCTCATGAGTATTGTGAGAACTGTGCATTTGTGAGGTACTTAGAAATCCTCAGAAGTAAGTTAACAAACTTTAAACTGATATTATTCTTTGTTAACGTTAGTCTAAATATGCTATACAAAGTGGCCCCGATGTCAGGCCATTTACCCTTCTTATCTGATACTTTGTGTCAGCAGCATTGACACTTTAAGTTATCTATCAATGATGCTTTTGTCAGTATCGTGGCCTCTGTGACTTATTAGCATAGCTAAGATATTGACATTGGCCAAAAGACAATCCACTATTACGGCAAATCCACTATGCACATTTATAGACTTATATTTTTTGAGAAATAACAGAAAATATGTTCTGCAATATATTTCATTTTGTAAAAGGTGCCGGATTGATAGCACTGGTGACTGAAGTCCTCTATCCACAAAATATCTAGTATAGCCAGCAGCACTGCATGTCTGTTCACATTATCATGCCAATAAACCTCAAGGTTGACTCCTAAAGGCAAGAACTGTTTCCAAGCCAGTTTAATTCATGATCTTAATTAACCCTCAGTAGTACTGATTATGGATTTTCACTCTGTGTATGATGAGCTTCACTCAGAACCAGACAGACCAACTCACTTGGCAGAAGTCATTGAACAGCAGATAGCTTTTGGTCATTACCAACCTAAGATTTATCAGAGGTAGAGGTAATAGACTTTGTACACGATTACCTAAGTAGCCTTTTGTCACTCTGTCCCATGATAGGTACAATCCAATTTGATTTTATATGAATTTAGGAGATTACGTCTCAATACAAAGAGTACATTACTTTGTACATTACCATATCTGGAAACAAATAAGGAACTTAAAAGAATGTAAATACCTCAGAACTTTCCAAGAACTGCCTTAAATCTGGATCCTGCAACAAGGTAGGGTGTTTTACTGTTCTTTGTAGATACCTATGATTTATAAAAGTTAAAATATTAGATAAAAAAACAGATTTCATGTGCCTGACAGCATTGGAAAGTGTCCTTTAGCTAAAGAATGGGTACAATGCAGGCAACATGTAACCGCTTTTCATTATCTAATGGGATGTGAACACTTGTAAAGTCACCTCTAAAGACAAGTTGCTGGCAGTGGTTTCTAACCTAGTTTGTTTACATCAAACTTCTTAAGGTATCATAATTTGCCATAACTCTATGTTGCACAGTATTAAAATAATATACTTGATATTTTTAACACCTCGGTGAAGGCTTCCTGCTCTAACAACAACCAATTTAAGCCAGAAAATAGATGGGCTTGTTTAAACACATTCTCATACAGTGCAGTGAACAGGCTTTTTGTTACAGCTAATTCTGGCTGGCTTGTTTTAGAATTAAAGGAAGTCTTGGAGAAGTGTGCTGATCTTGTTCTGGATATGAACTATTTATTTGCTAGCTAGACAGCCTTCAACCTATATTAGTTCTACAGGACTCATCCACCCAGAAGTTAAATTAGTGCAACACCTTCCTTTTGCAATTTTTTGCATTTCTGTTTGGATCTAAAAAACTATTGATTGTACAAATATGAGTTGAAGAGGGAAATTTCTACAGTGCTCATTCACTAAAAACTGCTGCAAGTTTGTCATAACTGATTTTAATATTATGCATTAACGGAAAGTGTCTGATATTTACAAGAATGCTTTACAGAAACTTAATACCTCAAAAGATCATGGGAGCATGAGAAAGTATGCAATATTGCCAATTAAGATGTACTAACAGAACACCATTAACAGCATTTGTACTTTTTGCAAAGCTTTAGTTTAGCTCAAGCCTCAGCTGTAAAGTACCAGAACTGCCCCATTACAGTCACAAATTGCTTGGAAACTGTCCTAGAGAGTTATATAGACTGGGACTTAACTGAAAGTTTGAGTACACTGATATTGTAAACACAATGTGTTTTCTCCATCCTCCATTAGATATGGCCACCAGATCCTTATTTTTCTTCCTAAATGTCCTGGTTTCAGCTGGGATAGAGTTAATTTTCTTCTTAGTAGCTGGTATAGTGCTGTGTTTTGGATTTAGTATGAGAATAATGTTGATAACACACTGATGTTTTAGCTGTTGCTAAGTAGGGCTTACACCAGTCAAGGACTTTTCAGCTTCCCATGCTCTGCAGGGCGTACAAGAAGCTGGGAGGGGGGACAGCCAGGGGGCCTGACCGAGATTGGCCACAGGGCTATTCCACACCATATGACGTCATGCTCAGTATATAACTGGGGCGAGTTGGCCGGGGGGGAAGGGATTGCTGCTCGGGAACAGGCTGGGCATCAGTCAGGGGGTGGTGAGCAATTGTGTCGTATATCACTTGCTTGGTACATTATTATTGTATTATATTATTATTATTACTACTACTACTACTACCATTCTATTTCATTTTACTTCAATTATTAAACTGTTCTTATCTCAACCCAGGAGTTGTCTGACTTTCACCCTTCCAATTCTCTCCCCCACCCCACTGGGGGGGAGTGAGTGAGCGGCTGTGTGGTTCATAGTTGCTGGCTAGGGTTAAACCACAACACTAAATAAGCTAAGAGTTGCAGTGAAACTATTTCATACATTAGATTGCTCAACTTTTCCTTGCTTGTTCTAACAGTCAATAGCAAGCACAAGTTAAAGTTGACGCGGCAAAGAGCTTTTTCTTTAGAACTTTGCTGCTAGAGAATAGCACTTACTCCAAGAGAGATAACAAACATCACTGGATACAACTAGAGGTATGCTTGAAGGCACCTGTCAGACTTGTAGTACTTAAGTTCACTATACTAAGGCATAAACTTCAGTGAACTCAATAAAAAAGGCACATTGCTTTCCTGCCCACTTTCCCTATAGCTCTGGGCAATCTAGAAAGAGCAACCTAGAACAGATTTCTTTGGTCTTTCTGGGGCACATTAATGTTTTCCTCAGCTTCAGGAAACAGCAACATAACCGTTGCCTCTAAACACCTTTTGAACACCTCAGTAGGTAGGTGACTTTTTGGTTCTGAATGGAAAAGCTAGCTAAAATTGGCTTAGGAACATGATGAAAAAGTTGCTCGTTGCCAGATAAGACTTTCACGGTCTGTCTGAAAAAAGAAACGGAATATACCGTGAAGCCTTCCCAACACTGTCAAAAGTACTGAGGAGTCCCTTTCCTCGTTTCGGGATAAGACTTTCACAGTCTGTCTGAAAAAAGAAACGGAATATACCGTGAAGCCTTCCCAACACTGTCAAAAGTACTGAGGAGTCCCTTCCCCAGTATGGGAAGAGTGCTTAACATCCACTGAAAGTGATATACTAGTTTAACTCCTTTAACAAATAAATGAAAAAGCAACACTTAAAGCACGCACACAAATATGTGAATTAAAATTTTCCTAATCTGAGTTCCGTTGTTCAAGTGACCAACCAAGGAGGAAACCAGTCATCTCTATCACAGACAGAGACCTAAAGTTGTCTGGAAGTGGTTGTTCAGTTGTCTAAGTCTAATTACTCCAATCCCAGCTGTTATTCCAAGTCTTCATAACACCACTCTTTCAGCAACAGGCTTGTTGTATAGCCAGGATGTGTTTCAGAGTTCTGCTCCAAGTGACAGAACTACATAAGTAACTTCAGGGTGCAATTTTAAGTAGCAAACATTAAGCTGTATACCAATCTTTAGTGATGGACAGCTGTAAGACAGGACAACCTATCAGTATTTTGAAGGTCAATATCAGTTCAGATGTTCTTCTATTTGTTAAGAAATGGAAGGATGGTAGCAACAAGATTCTGTTATATCAATATAAATATAAATATCAAGAGATATTTTTCCAATTAAGATTGTTTCTGGAACTCCAAAAGCTCAAGAGCTTCATATATTATGTTAGATATGGTCTTTGATATACAATCAAAACCCTTTGATTTCTATTAATTTTCTAGTTTAACTGCAACTGCTAAATGGTGTATTGTTTTCATATGATGTAATAATCACATAGAATCACATCACAGCAACGGGCATATTATAAAATCATACCAAAATTAAGTCTGTATACTTGACTCAGCTGTATGTGACCATAAGTTATAGAAGTTTTACTAGTTGCTTTTGAAAGCCTTTACCAGCCATGTCAACAGGAAGGGATGATGCAGCACATCAGTGACAGTACCCTTTGTGATGGGTGCACTCTTCCTGTTTGAACTAACTGAACTTTGGTCCAGGTAGATGCTCAACAAGTAGGCCTAACCAAAGTTAATCCTATTGTGCAAGGCTATCAGCAAGAACCCAGCACCAAAACCACAAAAATGGTTTGGCTGGAGACTGGGCTGATAAGCAGCAGAAACTGCATGAATACAGCAGAAAACCTGACTACAAGCCAACCACTTTACGCTATAAATATCTGCATCCATCAGGGTCCATCGAGCTCTCCCTCCATAGCAGCTGACTGTGCGGCGATCTCCCCTTGAGTAAGGACGCCTCTCGAGGTTACCCCTCAAGACCAAGAGATCCCTTACCTGACACCAGGCATCGATAGGTTGGTAAGTGACATTTTTTGCATGCATGTAACATTTAGATATGTATAGTAAGCTTACACAATGACCTTTGTATCCCATACTAACTTTAAGTGTAGTACTGACCACCAATCCATCTGTACTTATTAAATATTTTACATACCTAAATTTACTGATTAGAACTCAATAAACTAACTACTAGATCAAAGTGATCTCTGACTCTTCTCCTGTGACACCCTTCCATAGCAAAGGTATTTGAACAATACTAGTTGTATGTCAGTGCTGGGTGACAGAGATCTGCTATGTCTTACATCAAAATACAGCTAGTCACACTAATGCATTATAAGTCATCAGAAGGACGTTATAGTTTCAACTGACTAAAGGTTTCTTTCATCCTTCCGCCTGCCCAACAGTCAATTTTATATTAAATAGTTGCACTGAAGTGATTTAATGCCTTAAAATCACAATGTGTAAGTAAGCTGATGAAGAAAGTTTTGCTTACTGGATCTCTGCAACCTCAGTTTTAAGAAGTGACCTGTTTGAAAAGAGGTAACTATAATTCTCCCTATGAATAAGTTTAAATTTCCTATTATTAACAGGAATTATTCCATTTCTACACAAAAATTGGGCAGCTGCATACAGACTCCAGAATCCACCTAAGTACAGATGGTCCAGATCCCAGTTACAGAGCCCATGTAGTATATTAAAATTCATTTTGATGCTAAACAAGTTTTAGTTAGATACATACATTACCTTTCTAATGATGCTCTTCTTTTTTCTACAAATTCAGCAGATGAAGAATCTTCCTTGCCTACTTTAACCTTGGTCATGCCTTTGAAGAAAATGGCATCATATTGATTTTACGTTATCATAAAGAAATCATTAACGTAACTGATATGATTAGAAGATTAAGCTCAGCTAAGTTTAAGCCAAATAGTGCCACAGAAGAATACAAAAAACACAAACACCGCATGCTGAGCACTTTTGTAGGAAACAGATCCATGAAATGTGCAATTTCCTGTAATACATCTATTGTGATCAAAGTTATTAAAAAACTAGTTGAATTTGCATTTATGAAGACAATCTAAATAAAGGTCACAGTCTTACTGGTCACTTGTGTTCAGAAGAAAACAGTTACTCTAATAAAGCAGAAGAAGAAATTAAATCTTAGTTTAGAACTCTATTGATTGGTATACTCATAACTAATATTTTTATTCTAGTATTTTCTAATTTCTAAAAAAAGTGGGGGGGATTTTTTTTTGTTTGGGTTGTTTTTTAGGGTTTTTTTCTTTTTAATTAATATATTGGGTATAAATGGCAAGGTTTGGGGGGGGGGGGGAGGTCCCTGCGGGGGGAGTTTTTGGGGGGGGGGGGAAGGGCCA